CTAACTCAACATTTAGTGCATACAGGCAATGTTACAGGAACTAGGCTCCTAGCAGGCACTACTAAACAACTATGGACAAGATACAGACAAGAAAGATTCTGGCCTTCATGGAACTCACATTCCAGGGAGAAAGAGTTCAAAAACAGGTAAATGCACGGACATAATCCAATACTGATCTGAGTTCCACCACACAATTTTACTCTCATGGCCTACTTGACTGCACCCATCATTTCTTATCAGCTAATCCATTTAGTTCCTCCTAACACATACTCCTAACGATGCTTATCAAAATGAAAAAGGATTGTGTGAACAAGTAATTTTGAATTAGTTGACTTCCAAAACAAAGCCTACTCAAAAGTATTTAAAAACTGGATGCTAGAATATTTTAAAGTGGCCTTTTTTGTCACAAAACCCTTCAGTGTACCTTTGGAATTTTCATTTACATATAGCTATAAAGATCACTCCTCCAAGCCCATTTTTAATATCCAAATTTGTTTGTGTATGATAGAAATAATTTTTAAAAGGAATCTTCATAACTCTAAAATATCATTCAAAATTCTAGGTATTTATAGGATTCCTACTTAGGATATTCTGATGCCTTAATTATTTGATTATTGACAAAAATCTGGCAGAAGATATGTTTTACTCAAGTCTATAGGGCGCTCTGGTGGCCTAGATGTTAAAGCGTTGTGCTGCCACTCCAAAGGAATTTGCTATGAATCTATCAACTGCTCCTGGAAAGAAAGATGTGCAAACTCCTCCCCAATGATTTTAGAGCCTTTGAAAAGCGGCTGGAGGATCAGTTCCGTTCGGAGTGATTTCAAGTAGAGGGCACATAACAACTCGTTTGTACACAGTACAGTGTGCTAGCATGCAATGTTAATCTTCTTCACAATGAAAATACTCAAAACACAGTTTTTATTAAGACTAATAATCTAATGCAATGTTACTCTCCGCAAATGCCACTTTGCCCCTGGTTTCTATCTTTCACTAGCCCATGCATCAAAATTCAGTCTAAAAGCAATTATTTGGAGTCTGTGAAATCTCAACTATTTCCCGAGTGACATTCACCAGAACGCTACAAAAGTCGCTAATAGTATCTTAAAGGGAGCAGGTGCTCCAACGATAGTGGATTTGAAATAAACGCGGTAAACAAATAACTAGGGTAAATTATTGATGTCGGAAATGGCATCTAACATAGAGAGGCTAAATGGACAGATAAAACAAGTACAGCCAGAGAACAGAGAGAATCGCTGTGCCTCGCGTTCTGATGTTGTTCAACATGACTAACTCCAAAGCACGGCTTGAACATGGAGCAAAATTCAACTCAGATCTGCTAGGAACACCCAGGGATTCTCTACTCTGGCTCCTTTTTTAATCAGGTCACAGGAGCCCTCAAGTCCTCAGCCATACTGTTTCTATTTCCTGATTGGTCTGACCTCCAAGTATCATGGTGCCAACCTTTCCAAGTCACGATCTCTCGTAACATCATCTTTCTAAGCTGAGCTTGTGCTTAAACAACATTAATCAGCTTTCAAAACTTGGTGGGAGAAGTCTTTAAAAAGGCCGGACACCCACCCACCCCACCACCCCGCCTCCTTTTCTTCTTCTGCCCAAACACTATGATCGAGACTCGAGAGGAGAAAAGCCAATTTTCAGGAAAGTCCCGTTAGGGTTACACTTTCAAATTCAACAGGGGCCATAAACGTGCACAAGTGGAAGTTCACAAGAAAGTATTACTCTCGTAGCAAAGGAGCTTTATTAATAAACATGTGCATCTTAATTTAGAGAAGTCTCGCACTTCAAGAACGCGCATCTTTTACATTAAAGACGGGGAGGGGGGAACCAAAAATAGATGGCAATAATCAAGTACGTGCACACTTCACGGGGACATTCATTTCTCTGCACCACGCTGGCAAAACAGCGACAACTAGACGCCACTTGGGCAGCAGCCCCGACCCTCGGCCTCCAAAGCACCGGTTTCCACGGGTCAAAGCCGTTCTGCAGCCCAGTTCTCACTAGTTTGCTTCTAGTCTACAGTCGCTGCGACTCGCACGCCTTCAGATATTTAAATCCGCTCTTCACTCACTATTTGCAACACAAACAGGGTGAGCGGCCTCCCGACAACTGAGGGATCAAAAGAGGGGGTGAGAGTAGGAGGCGACGCTCCTCGATGCCGCCCGGCCTGGGACCCACCTGCAGGCCGCGGGGCCGGAGGCGGCGGCGCCGGCGCCCCGTCCTCGCCGAAGACGAGTTTGAAGTCGAGCTCGTCGTGGGCGCCACAGTTTGCAGTAGTCATCGGCGTGGCCCAAGCTGCTGCGACTGCTCCTCAGGAGGCGCGGCTGCGGCAGCGGCTCCTTAGCGCCGCTTCATGCCGGGCCGCGCGGGCCAGGAGATCGCAGCTTCGCTGCAAACTTTCCGGGCGGGGCCTGCAACGCCAAGTGTTCCGTCCCCAACTCGAGAGCTGGCCGCACGCCGAGCTTCACCAAGAGGAGCCGCCGCCGCCGCCGCCTGTCGCGGTGCCTAAGCCGCCACCGTCGCCTCGGCAGATGCTCCCCGCCCCCCAGCAGCCGCCGCTGGCGCGCTCCCGCGCCGCGCCGCGCACCCGGCCTTACCCCCTCCCGCGCGCCCATCCGGCCCGGCCGCCCATTGGCTGCCGACGCCGCGGGCTAGTCCCGAGGGCTCCGCCCCCTTGCCTGCCTATCGCGTGACTCTCGCTCCAGGAGAAGGAAGTGAAATGATGCTGGGCGCTCGCGAGCCCCGCTGCTGCTTGGGAGTTGTAGTTTAGCTCCTGTCTCCGCCGTGACCAAATTCGAGGCTGGCGCCCGCGTGTGGCGCCGATAGTCCTGACTGATTTCGGGGAGCCGACCCCTGGCTACTGGGAGATCATTTTTCTTACTCCTTATGTCTAGGAGAAGGCGCAGAAGCCCTGTGATAACGGGTGGTCTTGAGATTCTTATTCTCCCCTGGCTGGGTCTGGAAAAGGGTATTCCGCACCTCGAGGTTACCTGGATGGGACTCACACACTCATCAAACCCCTGCACACACACCCCTACATGGCAGAAGGGGCCAGGATCGGTCCGAGCCTGTAGGACTGCTAGGAGCCGAGCCGGAGGAGACCAGAGTTGTGGGAGGAGTCCCGACTCTGGCTGCGGTCACTGCGGGGCGGGGCCTGCGCTAGCCGTGGTGGGTGCGCCTTTGTCCCCCTCGGGCGGCTGCTCCTCGAGGGGGACAACAGGAGCATTTGATGCCCCCATGAACTGTTCCCTGCAGGAAGCCGGGGCAGCTGGACAGGAAGGTGTCTGTTTTGAGTTCAAGCACTCAAACTCTGTGACCTGTTTTCCAATGCACACCCATGACAACTGGAGGGATTATGCCACCCAAAATGGATGGCTAACAGTAAGAAAGGAAGTGATACTGTTTGTACAACCGTTTTTTGTTGTCAGCCCCTCCCCACAGCCCAGTCTTCCCCCAGGATAACCCAAGGTGCTGCCTCTTGGGACCTGGAATGGAGACTGCGCCCAGGGATGCTTGTTTACTTAGAACACAGGGTAGACTGGGAACTGGCGGGGTGACCCGCTCCTGCAGCTCCAGACTGAGGTCGGGATGTGGGCCCATGGGGCACAGCATCCCTGGATGCCCGTTGCTGGAGAAACCCTGGATGCCTGATCTCAGAGGGTTGGGTGCAGGTGCAAGGCCCTGGGAATGTCGCCTCATAGGGCCCACAGACATCCCACACCGTGTATACAAAGCCTCTGGGAGAAGAGAGCAAGGGGAGTGCTTTGCAGAGGTCTCCATTTCTGAGCTGACATGGGAATTCTAGGCTATGAGCCCCAGTGTCAGACTATTCACTAAGCACGGTAGGCATGGGCCTGCTTGTGCTTATTTACTTACCTGTTGTGAATACCTTTTTTTCCCCACCCCCACCCCCCAAGAGATTCTGCTGCTTTTGGTCTCTCTCTCCCAACCCTATAAAACTCTTCTACGAGAATCAGAGCTTCTTTTTAACATACAAGTCCTGACAGTTATAGAAAGAAGAAGACTCCTCATGAGATGGAATGACATGGTGACTTGAGCACTGGGCTCTGGTGTGTCTGAGATAATAAGGATGGCACAGGCGAGGGCAGGGTTCAGACTGGCTGTTCATAGGGTCCTTATGAGTCTTTGATGTGGTAAAAACATGTGAAGTTGTTCACTACAGATTAGTAAAGAGCAAACAAATCCATGCTTTACCTTGCTTATTTGTCCCTGATAGAGATAAGCCTACAGGCCTTAAGTCAGGAGGGTAGGAACGGCCAGAGCATGTGAGACATTTATCCATTGGTTTCAGGGTACTTTTCATAACCTGTGTCCACAGATCTGTGTTGGGCCTGGGGACTCAGAGATAAACCAGTTTCACTTTAGACATGGGGAGGCTTTGACCAGCAACTATAATTACTGTGCAGAAAAATGAAAGCAAAGCTTGGAGCTCAGAGAACTCCCTGGCTTCAGGGCTTCCACGGGGATGGAGACACAGAAAAGGAATGAGGAAGACTTTTCTAGACAGAAAACAAATTTCCAGACTCAGATAAGGCAGTACCAGCAGTGGGTAGCAGCCAAAAGTGAGACGGTTCAGGTAGGCTAGATGAATGCTGCAGACCACTGCAAAGTGTCCAGACTTTATTCTGAGGGCCACAGGGAGCAATAGAAGGGTTTAGAACAGGAAGCCTGTATGGGCAGAAAACTGAGTCAATCACTAGATGCACAGTTAATAACAGCTGAAGGAAAGGGGCAGATGGTATTAGATGGACAGAACATCCTCCAAAAACAAAGCTATCCTGCCTTCAGAGTTTCTCCAACTCTGAAGACCTGAGACTGGAACTTGGAGCCTCAATATCGCACTAGCTCTGCAACCCTCTGCCACTAACAGATGGCTGGCCCGCCTGCGAATGCTACATGTAACATGATCCTAGCGTACAAGGCCCCAGAAGCTTGGCCAGCTCACCTCCCCACCCCTTGTGAAAGACTTCATGCAACTTCAGGATGTGCCCCCCTCACTTGCACATACAACTCCCAGCTTGTCATCTGAACTGAGAAAATGGGCCTTTATCCAGTCCCCCTTCCTTCCAGACATGACTTCATCCAAACCAGGGGCCCAGGGAGCCAAGCCAGGGATAAGGAGACCCTGTGGGTCTGTTGGCACCACTGTTGAGAAGGAACTAGAGAAGCTGCTGATGATTTGAAAAATTCACCTCTTCATCAAATGCTCAGCAGTGCATCTGTGAATGTTCCAAAGAGGTCATGTCTCAGGCGCGGGCTTCTGGTCTGGCAGAAACTGAACACCAGCCTGGAGTTCTGAGCTAACACTAGGCAGGGGTGGGCACCGAGGGCAGGAGTGTCACCACCCCTTTAAGAAAAGCAGCTACGGAATGGCTGGGGTTCTTGTGAGCAGTGACTAGACCTCCCCTCCCCACTTGCCAACACTTACATACACTTTCAGAGCCAAGAATTCCCTTATGAACTCTTTTTCAGGCCAGCTCCAGAGCTCTCATAGGAAGCCATCTGACTCACGCTAACCCTCTGAGAGCCCTGTCAGACCAGAGGCCCAGGGGGATAATATTCAGATCCCTTCTTCCATAAGGCCCAGCTAGCAGACAAGAACAATGTGGGTCTCTATACTCTACTTCTCCTTCATATGTGAATCCCAATCAGGCCCAAGGTTTACAATAAGTCTACACAGTTGCCATAGACCTGGCCCGTGACCCTCACTGAGGAAGGCACTCCTGTGTCCTGATAATCAGGGAGAGGCATGGTATAGCCAGCCTCCTTATCCCACTTTAAGGGAAGTAAGAAACCTAGAGGAAAACTAGAATTTAGAAAACTCCCCTGTCATTCACCCCCACAGGCTCAAGTTTCATTTCTCTTTTGTGCCTATTCCCTGCTACCCAGTCAAGACTGGGCATAGGGAACACAGGAACTGCCCTTGAGCAGCTTCCAATCTGGGCAAGGGGGATGAGGCCAGCCAACTACGGTCTAAGAAAGTTAGCTGCTGAAGTCAGCACAGGGCACTAGGAAACCAGGATCAGCACTTTTTCCTCAACTGCTAGGCTCAAGAGTTTGGACTTGATCCAGAGGGCAATGGAGGGCCATGAAAGAGTTCTGAGCGGGAGGACACCTGCGAAGGGTCTAAGAATACAGAACTGCAAGAGTGCACAGTCCCAGCCATGCATCTGTGCACAGTCGGTGGCCTTCAGAATAACTGCCCTCTTCTCTAGCCTTCCTCATCTCTCCTATTTGTGTTTGTCCCAAGCCACTTGTCCCTAAAATGAACTAGAGGAAGCTCATAGCCTCTGTGGATAGTGGATGGATAAGCACATAGTCACTAGCTCTGAGAAGGATCTAGGAGGAGTAAGTGGCCCAGTTTAAAGTGAGCCTGGTGAGAACAGAGGCTGGGGGTCTCCAGGCCTGACTGGACTCACTCAGAGCCTTAGGCAGCAGGCTAAGGAATAACCCTTACACAAGTGTCGCTAGTGTGAGATCTTCTGAGGTCTAACACACTCTGCCAGGGAACTTTGGTCATGAAATCTATCAGTCCCCTCCCTTTCTGGCTCCCTCTTGGCCAAACCTCTCCCCAAGACTTGCCCCGGCCCTCTGAGGGCCCATTTCCTAGACTTTATCTTAGCAGTCCAGACTTGACCTTGACCACATCAGAAAAGGAATTTCCTTAAGGTCACCACTCGAGAGACAGAATAGGCCTTAAGAGTCTTGACCCACCAGCGAGGTGGATCTTGGGACTTGGTGTTGGACCCCCACAGGGTCTCTCCATGGCTCTGAATGGAGGAAGTGGTCCACTGGGGTCTGCCCTGTTCTAGTAGGTCTATAAGGAAAACAAAGGGAGTATTTGATTGATTTTTTTAATAAGAAAAATAATAAATAGTACCTAAAGTCTGGAGGCTGTGGCTGGCCCAAGCTTTTCCCTCTTGAGAGGGCCCCTTCTGCTCAAGGAGCCCTGGTCTAGAAGTTATGGAGAACCTTAGCCTGCAGTGACTCCACCAGCCATACGTTATTATTCTATCAGAGGTCAGCTGATCTATTCCCCAGGCAGCCTCACCCCACCACTAAACGCTCTCTTTGAGGGGCAGGACTTGAAGTAATGGACGTGGCAGGCAGGGAACAGGGCTGTATCCTCATCTGCACAGAGAAGAGTAAGTGTGGGTGGCAGGGAAGGCAGCACCTGGACCAGACAGAAGGGCCCCTACCCAACCCTTGACTTGGAGACCAGCAGGGCCAGGGGTGTTGGCTGGCACAAGGTATGAGGTCTGTGCAGGGCTGGCAAAGAACAATCCCCCAGAGGTGATGACGGAAGGAGGGGAGAAGAAGGAAGAAGGCCAGCAGGGCTCCTCTGGTGGCCTAGGCCTCAACTGGGAATCCCCCTGGCCCAGAGAGCCAGGACAAGTGAAGGAGAAGCAGTATATTTACAGCCCAGGAAAGGGGCAAAGGGGGGGCACAAGGCAGGGACCTTCGGTCAGAACGCACCTCCCATAAGCGGAGGAGGCCCCAGGAGATGTGGTAGCTGTTGTTTGCTTCTCACTGCCAGGAGGAAATTAAACAGAATCTGCCACTTCCTTCCGCCCTAAGCAGGATGGTGGGGGAAGGGAGTGTGGGCAGGCGATTGCAAGGGTGCAAACTTCTGTCACCAGCAGCCACCACTGCCCCTCCCCCAGGGCAGGTACTGCATCAGGTCTGAACTCTAGTAAAGCTGCCAGCTTAGAGGAGACCCATGCGGTCAGGACCAGTACTCCGCTTCACTAGGCTGGTCCCGAGTCTTTGTCCCAGATTCATTATCACCTCTCATCAAGAAAGTCAACTGATGTGTAGTGTCTAGGGCTAGCAGTATGATGGACTTCTACCCTCAAGTCTAGTAATCCTGAAAGGTGACATCATTCTCACTAGGCAGGCCCTTAAGGACAGGCATGGGATATGTTTCAGGCAACACAGAGGGCAAAGAAGAGAATGACTCTGCCAGGACACAAGTTTGTGTGCTAAGCTGCCCACGGCTGAAGCAGCCAGCCATGGGTAAAGCATCTTTATTGCACTATACTGATGTCACACTGAGAAGGTACCATTTGAAAAGCTCCAGTTTTCAAAGGAAATACTGAGTTTGCTCAGAAATTGGTCTTGTATCGCTCAGACCTGCCCAAAGAGATGTGGTACTCCTAAGGCTCTTCTTGCCTGATAGGCCCAGGGTCTCTGACTCTTGCCAGGCAGGGCCAGCAAACCGCCCAGTGGTGTCCTTATGTTCTGGGGCCTGAAGTTATCATAGGGTTAGGCCCATGGAGGCAACAGGGGCAGGGACAGTGGTCATCGGGAACAGCCTTCCAGCAGGCTGTCTTCACTACTTCCCAAGGCTACAAAGGGTTTCTTGCACACCACCACAGGAAGTCCTGGTTCCTGATCTCTGGGACCCTCTGGATCTTGATCAGGGGCCTCCCGCTTGCGCTTCTTCAGGGAAAGACTCTCCTCACCCAGGCGACCCTCAGGGAGGCCTCGGCTCCTCAGACAGACGATGGCAGCAGCCTGTTCTGCGAGTTTCTTGGACTTATCCCTAGGCAGAGGAGGTATAGGACAATAAGGCAGATAGGCTGCTTGCACACTTGAGGCTGACAGACTTGTCTTTACACAATCTTGGCAGAGTCTCTGCCAGAAGGAAGGGCCCAATGCGCTGGGACACCACACCATTGTGCAGGCACCCCATTCCCCAGCCCTTCCAGGCCAGGGCTGGGCTCATCTCCCCACCCCAAGACTCATGTCCAGTAGTGAGGTAACTTACCACAAGGTAGACTGATACTTTTGCTCAGCAACAGTGACAACAGAGCAAAATAGACGATCTAGAGGGCGTTGAACCTGATACAAAGAGCAAAAGAAATAAATGGTGACACAGAGGTGTAGCGGTTGAGCCCTAGATGCTCACATCCCAGGGCGATTACTGCAGACAGATCAAGGGAAGGAATTCCCACCTAAGGACTATGAAGAGACCATAGGCTCCTCCTCAAGAGAAGTGCCTGGTGCGTCTTCCAGGGAAGAAAGGCAGACACACAAACAGACACAGACATCACTGTGTGTCAGGAGTTCTGCCATGGACCCAAGCAGGAGGGCTGCAGTCTTCAGTCGCATGCGATTAGGGAAGCTTCCCTGCTGATGGGCCAAGTCCTCAGAGATGAGGAGCTCACTAGATGACGAACAGATCAGAGGGGAGCAGAGAAGGTACATCTAGCAGAGGCTCCAAGTGATAACACCAAAACGAGGGCAGAGGGGGTGAGACTCTCAACCTCACCTAAATGGGGAGGGCAGCTATATGAAAAGAAGACACGGGAGGGGGAAAACATGTGCTCTGTTTTGGGGTGCTGGTGCCTGATCCTGTGGGCACTGTGGAGTGGATGAAGACTTGGACAAGAGATTATTATCTTTGCCTTTTAGAACAGTTACTCGGAAAGCGAGGAACACAAACCTAGAGGCCAGTCTAGACGAGGCAGGCAGCCTAGACAAAGGAGAAGCAAGATGGCCTCAAGGTTTCCACCCCAGATGACCCACAGCTGGGGTCCAATTCTGTGTTCTACTGGCTGAAGCCTGATTAAAAGACATGGCTGCCTAGCTTTTAGGTTTGAGCTTCCTTCCTAAACCTTCCTTAGAAGTGTTCCCTGTCTCACCATCCCCACTGGCCAGGGACTGGCCCAGGCAGCCCCTTACTTCGGTCCCTAGTGCACTTTTCTGAGAGTAGTTTGAAATGAACAACAGGACCCTGACACAGGAGAGAGGCTACCAACACCTGACCAGCTGCTAGAAATCTCTGCATGTTCATGAAGGACAGGCAAGCCTATAGTCAAGCAGTCTGGAGTTCAGGACAGAGGCTGGGGTATGTTGACAGTGATGGCACCAGCTCGAGGTGCTGCAGGGACGGCTGCAGGGCAGCCACAGTCGGGAACTCACTGTCTCGTATACAGGCTGTGCCAGCTTCTCTCTCCGACACCACTCCAACAGGCACATCTTGGGGGTGATCTGGGGTGGGTATGCTCTCCTAGGAAGGGAAGTTAAGGAGTTAAGGTGCATCCTCCATCATTTACTCCCCTCCCTCAAGAAGATGTAGGAACTACAAAAACAGACATCATTATCCTGCTGTCTTAAAGCTCTGTCCCTATTCTCTAAGCCTCATTTCTGCTCTATCAGTAGTTTGGGGCCTGGGCTATATTAAAAATGGGCTTTCACATGTTTAGGAAGTTAGAGGTAGGAGTAAACTCCAAGCACTCTGGCACTGGCAAACAGCCTTCATCAGCCAGGAAAGAAGACCCAATTCAAGATTGATTAAGATGGACTGGGTGGAAGTGAGGAACTCAGTTGACCAGATAATGGCCTCAGAGATATTTTTATAGCTCAGTGTCCGCCCTGGGCCACATGTGCCAACTTTCAGGATGATCTAGCTTTGGATACAGCTGACCCTGGTAGCAGGGTGACAAAGTAGGAGGAGCTCTGCTCCAACTTCTCACTGGAAGTTCTCTCCAACATATGACTGGTTCAAGAGCTGTGTCAATGACCTCTGTACCCCAGCTGGTCCCTGATTTGGGCTTACAGATTGGAGGAAGGCTCAGATCCCAAGTGGAAAAGGAAAAGGAGAAGGAGATCATTCAAATGAATCACAATCCCATTTAACAGTCAGCCCAAGGCTACTTCTGGCTAGCGAGGGTGCCCTAGGACTGATGAGGGAGTGGGGCTGCAGAACCAGATGAGGGCTGGGGTCCACTGCTACTGGGAAACTAGTCCCTCAGAGTCAGGGGGCCAAAGAGCAGCATTTCAGGAAGAGTAGGAAACAAGGCGTTCCAGTCCCAAAGTGTGGGGGGCGTTGGGTTAGGGAAAAGACAGAGTTCTTTCAGCCTTGGAAAAACACAAGCAGCCCTGAAAGCACTGCTTGAGCTTCTAAAAAGTGGCTTTTTTCTCCAAATGCCTTTTAAGAATGCTGAAAATAGAGAAAAAGTGTCTAAACCAACGCCAGTAGTTCCTGAGATTAGCATTAACTCATATAGCAGTCAGCTTGCTAGACTAACCCAATCTCCAGGGCACTGGCCATGGCCCAAGTCAAGGCCACGCTGGAGACCTACCGGTCAAACTTGACAGCCATCTTCATGATACCGGATGTGTCTTCAACTGGCTCCTTCGCCTCCTCTGGGTTCTGGGCCAAGAGCTCAGCCCGCCGGGCATTCAGCTCCCGTGTGGTCTCCTCAAAGAAGGCACCAAGGCCAAAGGCCTCACTGTCGAGGGAGAAGCAGAGTGAGACCAGACCTCAGTGTGGCCAGAATCAATGAGCAACTTCTCTCTACACAAAAACCAAAGCACTACTGCATCAGAAGATGCCTCCTACCACATCTGGGATCTGCCTGGAATGAGCACGAAGGTAGAAGAAGTTTTAAAAGTCACTTTATTACCAAAACCTCTCTCCTAGGATGGCATATGGGTTGATATCCCAGACAGCAGCGTCTGAGCAGTCCTAAGCTGACCAAACGCCTGGGTAGGCAAAGCCTCCATCTATGGAAGGAAGACACAGAAGCCTGACCACTGGGTGGTTTCTCATCTCCCACCTTGGTTACAAGGGCCTCGCTTAATGAGTACCCTCTGAGATGCAACCCAGAGCTCTTTGTTAAGACTTTTTCAAGAGTTACACCTTGTCCAGCACTCAGTAGATATCTGGTCAAGCTGGTTAAACTACATGCAGTAGGGACAACACCACAAGCCTAGGATGAGGAAGCAGGTTCTGGTGAGGCTTTGCTATTCTAGGAAGGTCTTGAGGGCTTGAGCTCTTTCGGGAAGATGAACCCCTTAGGGCAAGAGTGGTTCAGAAATGCTTCTTTAGGGGAGGAAGGGCATAGACAGCTAAAGTGAAAGGGAGAGAACATTCCAGGCTGTACACAAGGTGTGGAGGTGGAGAAGAAGACAGGCACATAAGGAGATGTAGGAGCAGAGAGTAGGCCAGTATGGGAAGGGCCTCAAACACCAACCCTCTGAGTTGGACCAGATAGAGAAGACTAATGGAAGGCCATCAGACTGCAGTGGGATAGGGTGTGGGCATAGAACAGTCCAGGGGCCCCATTGTACAACCCAGTTCTCTGACCACTGGGACTTAGTGGGCTAGCACGTGTCAAGTCCATTTTTGGGGGAAATCCCTTTCTCCTCAGGAATTCCCAAGCCCAGCCTTCACAATCTTCATTGGAAAATAAGAGTTCTCAAAACTCAATTGTTGAAAACAATCCAAAAATGGAAAGTTCCCAACCTCGTCTTCTGAGAGGCAAAGCTGCCCTCTCCCCATCCCACCACACACACCTCCAGAGGCTGTGTCCCTGGCCCCTCAGTAGAACAAGCTCAGGGCTCAGGGACAAGCCAGGCAACATTTGCTGGAAATAGGGACAGCCCATTGGCTCTCTCACCAGATTTCCTGAGAAGACTGGGCGGCATGAAGCAACTTTCCCTGAGGTGACTCCAGCTGTTCTCGCAGCATCTGGCACAAGCAGTACTTGGTGTTGGTGTAGTGGTTGTCATACTGCACCGCCTAAGAGGAGAACTGGCGTGGGCCACCTGCTGACCTGGGGGCTCTGAGGCCTGGGGTAGCCTCTGATGACAGAGAAAGGATCTCCAGGCAGATTATCAGAGGTGGGCTTGCAGCCAAGACACTGTGACTCCGTAAGAGCCACCTCCTGCCTTGTCATCTGCTCCTGCAGGGGATGGTACAAAGCTTGGGGGTCACAGCTGAGGCCCACGGGCAAAATCCCTCTCTAGGAGACTGGCTCCCTAAGGTCTGAGGTGGAAGGAGCCTCCTCACGCCTCAGTATCCACAGCTACCACAAAGAACTTGCTGCTATGCATTTCCCAGCATGGGGGGGGGGGGACGACAAACCAAATGCAGGCCTGGAAGATCCAGCCTCTGGGCAGGGTGAGATTTCCCCCCATCCTATCACCTGAGCAGACTTTCCCTCTCTACAGCTTAGTCTCTCTCTAGTTCCTTCTGTAGGTAAAGCAGAGCACTATTTACCAAGCACGTTTGGTCGTGTCACTGTCACTTCATTTATCAATACGGAGTCAGGTGCAGCTATTTCCTCACTCCACAGTTTGGGGAAAGGAGGCACCATTCCAGTCCCTTAGGAGGCTGGCATGCTGAGGGCAGGGCAGGAGAGACAGGAGGCAAACACACCACCCTGTGCCCCCACAGTGGGTGAAGTTTTCTCAGTCCTCCAGGATCCTTTGACCCCAGCCTCCACAGTAGTCTACTTTCTCTACCTGGGCCTAGATGCTTTGTGCTGAGACAAAGCAGGGAATAAATGGAGAGTTCCTGGCCAGTGTCAAGGCTTTGATTCAGCTTGTTTGGGACAGAAGGCATCTGGCTGGACCAGAAGCAGACGGCTTTGCCTATGCTTGAAAGCCGCTCCCTTTCTCCGTGGCAACACGCCCTCCTGAGGAGCTGCCAGAGGACGGGCCAAGCAAGAGCGATAAGATCGCCTTTCACCCAGTGAGCAGACGTTACCGAACGTGTCTGCTCTGCCACCAACTTGCCAGGCAGCCAGAACTAGACTGGGACAAGTGACTGCCTCTTTTGCATCAGTTTGATCCAGGCCACCCACCTGCACAGCAGGACACAAAGAACTAAGGGGATGAGGCAGCCTGAGGGCTGCCGCACTGAGGGGGGGGCAGGGAAGGTTCAAGGACAGAGGCTACTCAGCTCAAGACATGGGCCTCAAGGTTCCAAGCTTGCCCAGCCATAAGCACGTCCATGTACTGTGGCTGCAAAGGGCTGGATACCCTGTAGGCAGATGTGACTGAAAAAGTGGGGAGACACCTGCTGTGAGCCAGGATGGATTTAAGGACCGCTCACTGTTTCTGTCTCTTATCCTAGAGGGAGAAGTCCTTGGCACCACTTTCAAACGCTGTGGTAGAAGAAATTGATTTAGAAAAAGCTATTCTGTAAGGAGAAGCTCACAGACTATAATGTCTAGGAACATGTGCAAAGGAAAAGATTTAGTTCACATTTTAGGAAAGGGATCTTAATGGATGACCAGGTAAGAAATCACTGTGGACAGAGCCCTGTCCACCAACATCAATGGTCCTCCTACTTGTGGCTGCTTCAACACTAACGCCACTGACATGGGTATGTTCAGTGACACAGACCCCAAGGGCAAGACATAGGTGTACAATGTGTGTGCGAGACAGGAAATTATGTGCTTGGGACCTATCAACATCCTGGGCCCAGAAGATTTTTGCTATAATCCTCCACTTCTAGAAGCTTTAAAAGGAGTGCTGTGTATCCCAAGTACTCTCTTTTTATATTGCTTCCAGGGAGACCCCAGTGCTACACAATCATACCTAGAAACAAAAGGCAAACACCACCAAAGCTGCTGGCAGCTGGGGGCTCACACAGTGCTTTCTGCAGCAACGAGGCAGAAGGGGAGAAATGCATGAACGTACGTATTTGATGTACTTTTGCATGACCTCCTCCAGGGGCCGAAGACCCTCCTTGCAAAAGATTGATGGGTTCCACATGGCTGCTCGGGCCAGCATCACTGAAGAGGCCGCGGTGATTTGTCGGAAGTCCTCTATGTCCAGATACTTTTGGATGTGGTCATGAGAGCCCCCACTGAAAGCCAACAGGGATAGGTTACCTCTTGTGATATTGGTGCTTTCAGAAAACAGCAACTCTGAGATCTTCATTAGCTGGATAGTTTAGGACAAATGCCCTTAGCTCTCAGAAGTTTGGTAAAGAAAGGATTATAAACATGTAGCACTATACGGTTAAGAGCATCAAGAGCGGTGGCCTAGTGGCAAGGAGCTGCAACTACAATCCCAGAGGTGAACGGTTCGAATCCACCAGATGCTCTGCCAGGTAAGGAGGGACAAATCTCCTCCTGTACAAGTCAGATCTGATTTGACGGTACACGCACACAAAAATAATAATAATAAAAAAAAAATTTTAAAAAAAAAGAGCATCAAGAGCGGCGAGCCCTGGTGGCCTAGTGGCAAGAAGCTACACTGCAATCCCAAAGGTGCGCAGTTTGAACCCACTAGATGCTCGACTGGAGAAGGAGGGATAATCTCCTCCTGTACCAGTCAGATCTGATTTGATGGTACACACAAAAAAATAATTAAAAAAAAATTTTTTTTTAAAAAAGAGCAGAAATAGAGACCATTCCAGGCATTTAGTAGGTATTCCAGAAATTTTCATTTCCTTCCACTTCACCCTGACTAATCTCTCTTAGTGAGACAGACTGACATCATGGCTGCGACAATGGGCTCAAAAAAGTAATGACTGTGCTGGTGGCATAGGACTGGGCACCTTTTTGTTTTCTTGTACTTGGGGTCACTAAGGTACTAAAGTCAATTTAACAGCACTTAAAACAACATAGCTGCTATCTTCACTAGTGGCTAAAACTAGTCCAGATCTGAAGACTAAATTATCTGTATCCACAGATCTTTATCTAGAGAACCGTATACTAACTTTTGCCCAGCAAAGGCTCTGTCAAAACCCTGGAGAGAACAGGCACACTGATCATGGAGGAAAGAAGGAAGCCCAATTGAGTTGCAATTTTCCTTGTATAAAACCCCCATAGAAACGACTCAATACTTATTTATTCTACTAGGACCCATGTATCAGCCTCAGCTCAGAAGACAGCCAGGAGGAAACAGCAGCCAAGATCTGGGGTCCCTAAAACCTCTCTAAAGTTCCTTGCCCTGGGGAAAACCAGGCTTGGTTCCTACCTATCTCCCACCCACACCAGGCAGGCCTGCCTTTTATCAGGGCTTTGGAGCATTCCTATCAGGCTGGTTCTGTGATGTCCTAAGAGCCTTAGTAGAGCTTCTGTCTGCACAGCGTGGGCCAGCTCCCCAGAGGGAGCAAAAAGCTATCCAACTACTAAGCTTCCGAGTTGGTCATTAGTCCCTCACACTTGCTCATCTAGGTTCTGGAACCTAGAATGTTCTATAGCTGCACAGAACATTTGTCAGGGTTCCCAAGGGTTCTATGACTACTGGCCAGGGACTCCTGATGTGGCTCTCTAAACCAGCCCACTCAACTTTGCATATGACATCACCTTCCCCGGGGTCTGCTTTGGTGCCCACCTTATTCTTGGCTGAGCCTCAACGCTCACTTCTAAGTTTCCTTCACAATGACTTGCACCCTAACCTACTGGTCACCCACAACCTATACTTCCCAGAGGTTAGTGGAGCTGACTTATGCAAGATGAGCTCTCTAGCCTCATTTCCAATTTCATTTTTCATTCCACTCTTTTTTTTTATCTCTGATGGTCAATTTTTTATGTTATTTCATTTCCATTCACATCTGTTCAAATCTCTTCTGAATGATGGAACATAAAAAGGTGAATTATGAAGAAGAGAGGCTTACTTGGCTATGACCGGAATGGAGAGGGTTTCAGCAATGGCTTTGATTGTCTCACAGCTGACGGGGTGCTGAGGTCGCTCCTCCCGTTTCCTTAAAAAAAAAAAATTAAAAAAAGATAGGGTCCAGGGCTTCGTACCAAACACCATGTCCGGGTTCACCCCGGATTACTGTGGCCAGGGTTTTCTCCCTTCTGAACCTTGAGCAGGCCAGGTGACCATCAAGGACAGGGTCTGGGCTGCAGGGTAGGCTCCTCCAGCCCCAGGGAAGAACTGCACAGGCCAGAGAGAAGGCAAAGCAAGGACCTCTATGGATGATAGGGTCCCAAGGTCTCACATTTTACCCTAATGCCCCGGTGACTCTGTCAGAGACATGGGACAGTGTCAGTAGAATGTCAACGCTACTGTCCTGGTCCTGCCCTCCCTAAGAGACAGAGAGCAGCTGCCACTACTCACACTGGCCCCTCCCACACAGCTGCCTTTGCTGGGGCCAAGTTACACAGCTGACCCAGGGGAGAGGCACCTGGCACAGGGCAGGCCTTGCGCTTGGAGCAGCCAGGACAGGCCACAGACCACGGCTGTCACGACAAACCACAGGGGAGGCAGGACCACAAATCCCATGGTCCCATCCTTTCAAAGTCTGCTATGAGAAGAAGCAGTGAGCCTTAGAGACCCTAAGACGAGCCATGACTGAGCAAGGTCAAGCAGGAGATGTAGCGGACCAGACAGCCCTTGCCAGGTCCTCTCTGAATGTGCTTCTAAAACCACTCTCAACAAGGAAGTCAAGGTTTATAGGTCAGAGCCTCCAAAGGTGCCTTCAGTCCACTCTGCCCTTCTGTTACCCACATTAGCCAGTTTGATCCCATCCTCAATGGTTCTGATGGCCAGAAAGTCCTTCCTTAGACTCATTCAAATCTCTCTTAGTGTTTCCAACTGCAGATGGAAACTAACAGCTTCATTTATTAAGAAATCTTGTGTGTGAGGCACTGTGATAGGCTTTCTATTCAGTCTCATAACAATCTCGTGACAGTTCTGTAAGGCAGAAATTCTTAAATTCCAGATGAGGACCATGAATCGCAGAGAGGGTAAGTGATTTGTCTAAGGACACACAGTTAATAAGCAGCACAGATGGGACCCAAGCAACCTGAGTCCAAAGCCTACTGACTTGGGAGGGGCAAAGGCACGTGGCCTTCCTGCGTTCAAACGGAATAGTTCCGCTTGCCTCTATTTTATATACTAGAGTTCTGGGTTCTGGCTATAATAGATACAACCAGCAACCTACAAGAATCCTCACCCCCAAAGTGACACACCACATTGAGTAAAGCGGTCAGCTGGGCCAGATTTTGTCCTGGGATTTTGTACAAAAGGGCATCCTAGAGTAATTCTACAGAGCTCATGGAATTCTTGGAAGTTTAGCAATCTGAGAGGAAGATTTTACACTTTTCTTTCTTTCAAAGTGAGGGCTCCAAATTTTGCATCCCAAAACACAAATATTTGGTCCAAAGGAAAACACTTCATTACCTGAAGAGGAGCAACAAGGCATTGTTACCTGTTTCACTCCATGTACTAGAGATGTTCCTGTGTTTTTCATACATATTTTTCAGTGGTAACACAAAATGTTTTAACAAGGACATAATGTCACAAGCTGTCTACTGTGCCTTGCCAGTAAAACCAGTATTAAACTTTGATCATCCAGCAAAGAAGTGAGTGAATATGACTTGGAAACCAAGGGTAGTCTTCAACAACACCTGAGCTCTCCAGAGAGTGCACGTTAGCTACAGATGTGAGGACAGTTTAAAAATAGTCATTGTGGCAAGCAGGCAACAAGGGCAGACAAAAGGAGCAATGCCTTTATAAGAACAGCTGTCTGTCTAGGGTCGTTCGAGGAAGAAGCCATTGCTCAATGTTGAGGAAAGAGAAAAAGGACTCAAAAAAGGGGAAAATAGAGAACACAAGTTCAAATTCTCATAGCCTCTAGGCTCTCTTGAGTCTTAGAGGGTGAGGGAATCTCCGAAACCATTGCTTTAAGATAATCGTTAAGCCTGAAACCAAAAATCTCCCCTGAAGTCATTTTAAAACCAGACAATAGTTTAGTTTAACTCGTAAAGAATGTCTCACTTAAGCAGTATGCTCTTTTACAATATACAGAGTTATGGGATCAAGTTAACAACTGCAACTCAAAAGATCAGATAGAGTGACAAGAATTGCATAACTCTAAGAATGTAATCAATGTCTCTAAACTACGCATGTAGAAATTGTTGAACTGGTGTATGTTTTATTGTATATATTCTCAATGACAATAAAATGCAATTTAGGAAAGAAAATGAGATTCAAGATCAGCGCTCATGTTCCACTGCTTCCTGGAAGCCCAATACTATTCTGTGCAAATCACTCAATCTCTACCATTTACAAAACCTGACAGCAGAGGCATTTCTACTCTCTCCTAGTCCCTCTGTGTTTAGAGTACAGCGCAGCAGGACCACCTACTCAACGAATGAGGCAAAGACAAACGCAAGCCTAGAGAGGTGATGGTAGCCTTGGGCCTCAGAGGACGTCAAAGGGCTAGGCAGAGCTGGGGTGGACACGTGAAAAGGAGTCTATTCTGCACCTGAGCAAGAATGAGTAAGGCAGGTGAGGAGCTCAGTCACTAGGAAGGCGGCCACTCACCTCCCGTGGACGGCGATGGCAGCGATGCCAGTCCTCTCGATCCGCTTCACAAGACTCAGGGTATCCTCCAGCTGAAGAAGAAAGCCCACAGGCGCGTTCATGGAGCCCAGGAGAAGCAGCAGTGAGCTCCCCGACCCCTTCCTCCATACCTACTTCAGCTCTTCAAGAATCATGCACACTCGAAATCCGACAGCACGGAGAGAATGCACCCCCAAATATGACACATCACCCTTACCGATGGCAGAATGCGAATCTTGCAGGTCACCGGTCTTCGTGTCCCTTTAACCAGAGTGCTGAGGATCTGAACAGAGAACACCATAAAGGTCTTGCCTCACCTGGAACAATCAACAACCACTCATACTAATAACTCTACCACAGACCTATGGAGCCCAGTGGTACGAACAGTTCGTCTATGTCTATGTGCACAGGTACATGTGTGTGTGTGTTGTTTGAGTATAGATGTGATCTCCAAGAGGCACGAAGTCTAGACTAGAGCCTCAGCTCCAGCAGCTCTGCAGGAGAAATGTGGGCAATCTCTCGCTTCCTGTTATGTTTACAGCCTCAGAAATCCATTGGAGGGTCAGTTTGAATCGGTTCTGACTAATTTGGCAATGACTGTTGAGTTTGAGCCTGTTTAAGAATACTTGTCTGACATTCCCAGTGGAAGGAATGCACTCTGATAGCTATTGGGTAAGAAGTTGTGCTAATAAACACAAGGCAGGTAGTTTGAATCCACTAGCTGCTTTGCGGGAGAAAGACAGACAATCTCCTCCCATGTGATTTACATCCCGTGAAAAACCACTGGAGGGTCACCTAAGAGTTGTTTAAAACTCAAAACAATCAATAACAACAACTATTTGTATATTAATTGCAGAAGGACTTCAAAGAAATAGCTAGAACTTATACAGGAATAAGGCACGTAAGTAGCAAGACCAAACCATGTGGGCATTAGAGATATTTGAAAGAAGATAAGAAAGATGGCACATTAATCAGTGGCATTTTATCTTCTTTCTTCAAGTGAATTATTTCAGGCCAGGCAAGCTGGAGGGAAAATGATCCCAAGAGCTCTCTGCCAAGAACTGAGTGAGCAGAACAGAAGGGATACCCTGGCTGCTGCTGCCAGTCTTGTTCTAGCCAGGTGAGGGCAGCAGAGAGCAAAACGTAGGAGCCAGCTGTGCCCCAAGAACTCACAGCTGGGTTTTCTGAGGCTGTAAATCGCATGGGAGGAGACTGCCCATCTTTCTCCTGTGCAGCAGCTAGTGCGTTCAAACCAACTGCTTTTGAAATGGCAGTGCAACTCCTACAGGTCAGAAGAGCTCCCAAAAGAAGTCAGCGGAGGAGACCTTTTCTCAGGGACAGGCTCAGGTCTGGCAAGACTACTCAGGGCCACACTAGAAGACAGCTAGAAGAATAACGAGTCAAAGTCCTGGAATGGGAAGAGGACTGGCAAGACCTGTTAGAAGCCTGACGCAGGAGACTGGATTATTGCCATTGGCTCTGACTTTCACCACATTCATCACTCATTGTCATCAAGAGGCTGTATATTTCACAGGAAATTGCCCACCTTCCTTCCAAAGAGTTGCTGGTGGACTTGAACAGCTGGTGGACTTGTGTCTTTGTGTTAGAAGCACGACTCTCTATGAACTACGCCCCCAGCGTTCCCTGAAACGGCTGGGGAGAACTGTGCTGATAGGCAGGGGAGGGCAGGTCACGAGCAAGACAGGGCCTGCTGGTCCAGGCACAGCTGGGCAGAGCTGCCAGGGAGAGGCAATCCCCAGGAGCTGTTCCAGCAGGCACACTGGGCTTCAAAACTGGCAGATCTAAAAAGGGTACCCAACAAGAGGGAGACGGCTACAGTGACAACAATGAGCTTAAGTGTGTCAGAAACTGTGAGGACGGCGCAGGCTAGGACAGGGTTCAGATCTTTCTGTCGTCCACACGGTCGCTGTGAATGACACTCAACTCAATGGCACCTAACAACGACAATCCTTTAGAACTAACTGACAGGTCAACTGAGATACACACAGGCCTAATATTCTCACTCTGGACTTAGCCCTTCAAGCACCAACTATCATTTCATCAAAGGTCTGATCTAATTCTGTTTTGCGGACTTCCTTTTTGGTCTATTTTATCCAAGAATCTCGAAGTACTTTCATCAGTATTTCTCTTCATTTCATTTGTAATTTCCAGACAGGAAGGAAGTTAGGTAACAAAAAGCCCCAGCCTCTCGCAGAGGGTCACACTGAGAGAAAAGGACAACTTGAGTTTTAATTCTTTTTATCTCTCTGTATTTTACTTTTATCATCCTTACTCAAATGGCGATAATAGTGCCTGCCCCATTTATTCCAAGAGGGGTTTGGAACAAATAACTACTAGAATATACTATGCAGAAGGAAACTACCTTACAAATGATAAAGGGTACATGTAAAATATTGTATAGGAATAAATCGAAGCTTCCACTTTTTGCTAGACAGAAACTCTTAATGAGCTCTCTTAATAAGGAGGCTTGCTGGTGCAAAAAAATGGTTAAGTCGTGGCTGCTAACTAGAAGATTAGTGGTTCAAATCTACCCAACAGCTCTATGGGAGAAAAAGAGTGACAATTTGCTTTCATAAAGATCACAGGCAAGATAATCCTATGGAGTAGATCCACTCTATCACATGGAGTCAACTGACTCCAACTCAACAGCACAAAACAACAAAAAAAGTCGCAAGTTACCATAGGCTGAGGGAAGCACTATGAGACTTAAAACCTATAAAATGAGGATAAAGAATTGAAAGGAAAACAAAGGTGCTCAGAGGAGCATCAAGGAAAGAACCAGAAGATTAAGAGAGGAAAGCAAAGGGTGCATACGGTGTGGAAACAAATGTCACCACATGCAGTGACAGCTCATAATACAGGGTATTGAACGCCAACCTGCCCCTGGGGCCTCATTAACCTGGCCTGCAGAATCACCAGGGGAAGGGGCACAGAGGGAGGCTAACTTGAGCTTGCCTCATCTGACCCCAGCCTCATCTGTTCTCAAAGGGCTGATGGCAGTCTATAGTATTCAGGGAATCCATTCCTGCTTTCATCAAACCCCCAAGAGATGCTAACCCTTCCAACTCCACAGTCACAAAGCCTCGTGCAATCCACAAGCAGCCTGGCCTCTCATTACATGTCACATTCATCCAAGAAGGAACAGAGGCATTATGGAAGGGTTCTTTTTTAAAAATTTTTTTTTTCGGAAGGGTTCCTTTTTGTTTGTTTGTTTACAGAGGGTTTCTTAAAGAAGTCCTCCAATCTTCCTTGTTCTCAGCAGAAAATTCACGAGATCTGCGATAGTAAGAGACTGAGGATGCTATAAACTGGCTCAGGGATTCCCCAACCTGGCTGCAGGGCAAAAGCACTGAAAAGCTTTTCAAATATCTCTAGGCTCTACAAGGAGAGACAGATCCAGTAAATCTGGGGTTAGGGTACGGAGTGTTCCAAATGCCATGAGTCCATAGCCATATCTAAGGTAGGACTTCAAAGCACTTCAAACCTGTTTAGTCATGACTGACAGAGTAAAATCAGAGTAGATCTGAATTTTTAAACTTTGGAATCCAGAATGGGAAGGCAGATTGGAAGATTTATGAGTCAAAGTCTTGGAATGTGAGACTTGGGAGAGAACTAGTGAGCCCTTTTAGAAGCCTGAGACAGGAGATCAGATTGCCATTGGCTTTGACTTTCACATGACTGGGTCACTCACTCATTGTCATCAAGGTGGAACTGACTCATACCTTGATCCCTTAGTGGGTATTGGGGAGGCTGTAAATTTCACAGGAGACTGCCCACCTTTCTCCCAAAGAGTTGTTGGTGGACTTGAACTGCTGGTGGACTTGTGTCTTTGTGTTAGCAGCACAACTCTTTACCAACTACGCCACCAGCGTTCCGACACGGCTGGAGAGAACTGTGCTGATAATGAAAAGCAGGTAAATGCCGCCTTGCGGGTGGGAACTGGAAATAAGATGAGTAAGATATGCCAGTTTGGCCATCCCATTAGGTGTAAACTGAGCAGGTTCAGAGGCAGAAAAATGGAAACCTTACTTAATAATAAAGAAGAGGTTGCAGGGTTTCTTTTGGGGGGAAGCATCAGCAGTAGCAGCAGTTCAAGTAGTGGAGAACCAAAGATCAATATGAGGCAGAGCTGAACTAGAACTGCTGCCCCACAGAACCGGAATCCAGGACCTACGTAACAATGGCTCAAAGCTGAGAGGATGAAGATCAGAGGAAGTGCAAGTCCTCCTGAGCAGCTACCCTGACTAAAGAATTGCATCCTATGTCCAACCTGGTAACCAGTTATTCCCTAATAAGCCTGTAACATGAGTGTTGTCTCTGAGTTCTGACCCCTGCAACAGATTAGCAGACTCAGCAGCAGAGCAGTGAGAGCCCTGGGAAGGACGGCAGGGTGTTAGGAGTTGTAAAAGGAAGTGTAGGAGCATGGGAGTGTGTCTGACCTTATGGGAACTGGTTTTGTACTGGTGCTGTTATGGATGGGGACGCTTTGTCCTTGTGGAATTAGCAGAGGTCAGGCTCAGCCATCCCTGCCAACTGCACTGTTTTTAGCAGTGACACATGTTAAAAGCAGCAGGACAATCAGCTGCCATCTTTAAGGTGGGCACAAACGTTTTTCACTCACTCGGTCAAGAGATTTGGTGGCAATGCAACACATAGGATGCCCTTGTTATCTAAAAGGGAGATTAATTTCTATCAGGGCTTCTACTGGTAACTTTTCCTGTTTCAATAAGGATTCCAGTTCACCCACACTTTAAAAAGCTGGGTCCATTCTGGCATCAATTCATGAGCCATGAATGAACTAAGTGGAACCACGTCAAAGCACCTGTAAGGACCCACAAAGACTCACCTTCTCAATCTTGTCAGGATCTGACAGCAGAGCAGCTCCCATGCCTCCCTAAGGAAAAACACACAGAGGTTTTCTACCTGCTGGAGGACAATGGCCCCATCTTGTGGTGCAGCAATGTGATGCCTTCTCGGCACTTGACTCCAAAGGACCAAAATCCACTGGCAGACACAGCATCCCTGCCCACAATATCAGATTGGTAAATTCTAAACATCACTACTTTCTTGGAAGAGCCCATGAACTATTAGAAGTGGGTTCTATAAAAATGATTTTTCATCTCAACTAATTAAAAATGATGAATTTATGTCTGTAAAAAAAAAAAGTTATTTTTCAGGTCTGTCCGCTCTCTAGCCAGGATCTAAGGGTCTTAATAAACTAAATTTCATCAACTTCCAACTCTTTTTAAAAAATTAGTCACTTTCTCTTTGAAATGAGACTAAACGTACTTTCTCCCTATCCTACATAACACACGATTCAGTACCACCCCCAGCAGCAAAGCTACTCAGGGTTACTTAACCTGCAAACCTTCTTTAGACCCTTCTCTTCCGCCAGGAACCCAATTCCAAGTACCCAGACCAGCGCCAAATTCTAAAAGAGCCTCTGGCTCAGAGATCCCCAAGCCATGCAGCCATTTAAATCTCACTATTAACAAGAGGGGTTGCCTCGTGATGGTGTGACTACTGGTGATTTTCCAGTTCTTTTCGGTTTGTTTCTACATTTTTCAAACTTTGAACAGTATAAATCACCTGACTAATTGAGGAAAAATACCTCTAAAAAGATTATTTTAAATAAATTTCTTTAATCCACTGCTCAGATATATTACATACACTACATTTTAGGAGTGAGGTAAAGTAAGAAAATAAATGTAAGAAATCTGTGCTGTTGGTATTTGGCTTCATACCAGTTAATGCCACAAGAGGGGTTGAGAGGCTTAGCTTAAGATTGGTTAATTACGTAGGGAGCTCTGGTGGCTTAGTGGCAAGAAGCTGAGCTGCAATCCCGAAGGCATGCAGTTCAAATCTACCAGGTGCTTTGCTGAAGAAGGGGCAATCTCCTCCTGTGCCCGTTGTATTTGTTTTGATGGTACACAAGAAAACACACAAACAAAAAACCAACAAAAAACAAGCAGCTGTGCTGCAATCCTGAAAATTGGTTATTACATTAATTTCATGCTTAAGATGACAGGTTAAAATCAGAGAACGTGTTAGACTTGGCCAGGTTGAGGCTGCATCTTAGAGGGCAAGCAGGAAGGGTGGAAGAATCTCTTCACCATGGGTACAAACCTTGGAGGCCCTGAGGAAAAGCCTGGCTACTCACTCTGGCTCCAGCTGCCCTTCACCGCACACCACCCATCTCTTTGTAGAATCATGGCTTTACTGCCCTTTCTTTAAGGAATGTTTCCTACTTTCTTCCCGCCCTCCCATCCCCTTTTCCTCCCTCTCTCCCTGCTCTCTCCTGTCTTTCTCTTACCTTGTTTTCTTCCATTTATTTGATTTTTTTGAATATGTATCATAGATTAAAAGTGAAGAGATTCAGCAGACAGAAAGCAAAAACTCTCCCTTCTCAAGAAATGGCAGATTTTTTCAACTGACTTTTTCCTCTGATTTACACTTCTGAAGCATGAGAACACAGCAGATCTTAGGCTGCTATATTCCATTGTGCCCTATAAGTTGGCATTTGTACTGACTGCTGGTGTCAGTGTTAAGCAATTAGCAACTGATAATTACTATGACTAAATTTCCTGCAACAGAAATTGCAAAATCAAATAAAAATACCAAAAAAAAGGTCTTATTTTCACCTTGAACTTCCAGACCACTTGGTTTTTCATTTCTCAAAGAAAATTTTAAGACCACAAATATATATAAATGTTAAGGAAGCTCTGGTGGCCTAGTGGCAAGAAGCTGACTGCCACTAAGAGGAAGCCCTAGCAGAAGTGTGAGTGTGAGTTTGTATGTGTGATTTCTAATGACCACTCCTCCATGCCCTGCACTGAACAGACCCCAAATTGCCTTTGTTATCTGCTCCAAACTTGCTCTTTCTCCAACAGTCCAGACAGAAGGTCTGCCTCAACCACAGACCCCAGCATCGCACCTTTCCAATCACTTGACAGGCAAGTCCTCACAAACCCTTCTCCGGTTTGGCTCTGTCTCTCATGAGTCCGGGACACTCATCTCCCATCTCTGTGACCCTACTCTGAGCCTCTTCCCACTGTACCCCACCAGACACATAAGGACAGATGAATATTTCTAAAGTACAGCCTGATCACATGACATCTTTGCTCAGAAAAAGGCCCAAATAGCAAAAGACCGAACAGAGTAACCTGGCCCCAACCAAAGTTGTCAATCCTGTACTCTACTGCTTCCTTTTTATTTCTAATTCAATACCCTACTCACATCTTGCTACTTGCAGTTCTCTGTCTACTCCTTCAGACTCAACTCCAGAGCCCTGATGCATCATCTTGAAAGCCTGCAGGGTCTCAAATCCCACCAAGGCCCACACCACTCATGGGATTCCAAATTTAAAGACTGCCTTCTCTCCTGGCAAGGGGCCACTATAACATTGTCCAATCTCTTCTGATATGACAACAGGGATACTCGTAGCACATTTTCTATCTTTTTGTTATTGGACGGCCCACTTTTATTTGAAAAGAAAAGGCCTTGATGAGCTACATTTTGTGTTGTGTTTTTTGTTGGTTTTGTTTTTTATTTTACACTATTTGTTTTATTACCTGTGCACAATTTTTCTTCAACTAGTTGGGGATAAGGTACATGTGTCAGCAGGAGAAAGAGGTGGCAGTCTGCTTCTGTAAAGACTTTCAGTCTTGGAAATCCTATGGGGCAGTTCTAGTCTAACCTACAAAGTTACTACAAGTTGAAGCAGACTTGAGAGCTGTGGGTTTGAGCTTGGTTTTTAAAAATACACATAATGTCGGCGCTGGCTGAAAATCGCCTGTGACTTCATCCATAGCCACTGGTGAGAGTCAGCGCCCAGAGCCATCAGGG